GATATAAATGTTTTGTTTAGTTTTCATTTATTAGGGCAAAACTAGTTACACTGTGTTTTCTATCTGAATGGAAATATATTCACAAATATTTACATTTATTCCACAAATTTTTGCTTCAGAGAAATATTCCTCTCATATGTATATATTTGAAAATATTTCCATTCAGATTACTGTTTTTGTCATTTCGTTAAACAAATTTAAATTTTCTCTTTAATTTATACTCATTAATAGTGACTAAGGGAACGAAGCCCCGCGCAAGCGCGGGATTTTTGCAAAAACAATTGTGTTTTTTTATGTATTCATTGATTTAAATTAGGGTGAGTTGGTTTAATATTACTAAATTTTTTCATAATTTGAAAACTAACCTTGGTTTTAAAAGTTTTGAAAAATAACTTTTTTATGAGAAAAAACAATTTCTTATTTAATTAAGATATAAAAAAAGATATTCAAAGATATATATTGAATATTAGATATATATGAGATATTTTCGAAAAATAATTTAGATTTTTTTAATAAATATTTAAACTTATATATACACATGTTATTTTAAGAATATATTCATATTTATCATAAATATGAATCAAACTCTTATAAATATCCAAAAATCTGCACTATTTTAAAACAAAGAAAAATTCACGCTTCACTCTTAAAAATAAAATGATGAAATGTGTTAAAATTAAGTCACGTTCTATATTTATTTATGAGATGTTTAATTTAATATAAAATCTTCTAAATATTTTTTTTTTTATTTTCTGATTGTAGATTTTATACATATTTTATGGGAATATTCCACACTGCAGTTTTTTTCTTCTCTTTCTTTGTGATATAAAATAAAAATAATTGTTTAGAATTATCTTTAAAAAAACAGATTTTTTTTTTACAATTTAATTAATTTTTAAATGAGATAAACGAATTTTAATATTAAAAAAATTGAGGGTGATTTAGTAATTTTTAATATTAAAAAGATTAGTTTTTCAACACTTTAAAAAGGGGGTTAGTATTCAAAATATGACTAATTTATGTAATATTGGTCCAAATTTCCTCTTTAAATTATGATGGTTTTATGTTACTTTTTGGTGGCAGCGTTTTGAGTTAATCCAACTACTCACATTAAGAATGTTCAATATGTTTTTTTGTATCCATTAGTGTCTATCAAGTTGCATGAATAATTATTATATTTTAAGTAAAAAAACGATTATTTAGTGAACTTAAAACTTTTTTCTAATCATCAGCGACCTTCTTATTTTCTAACAACTTGTCAAAATTCTTATTAACAACATCCCTAGCCATGTCCGGCTCTTAACTATACTCAACCATCGGCTTAGTCAGTTTTTGAGTCGTGCTCTTTGCCATTTTCTGTCCGACAATTTCAATAATAACTTTCTGAACTACTTTTTCATTTGCTGTATGAGCCGTTTTCTGTGATTTTAATTTGAAGTTATGCAAAAAAATGTTTCTTAAATTATATAAATCATCTAATACCTATTAATTTTCTTAGTTGATATTTTCATTAATATGTGAAATATATTATAGATTTTTTTATTAATAATATATTTTATTTTAAGGATATATAATAACAGAAAAGTGTGTAAAATAATTGATTTATTGATTTTAGTTTTAATTGTTTGTCATTTATAATTTTTTTTCTTTTTTGTTTTATAATTTGTAATTAAATGTGAGACCCATTATTTCTATAAAATTAGCCTGATGTGGATACCTTAAATGGAGAGAACACTCCCTAATTAAATATATAAGATAAGTCCGGAGACAAAGACGAAGGAAGCATCAGATTTTTGACAAGAAGAACATGCTATTTTCTGAAGAAATCAATTTATGAAAAAGAAATGAAAAAACCTATGGCAGATGCATTACTTAAGAAAAGCCAAGAGTTAGCCAAAATAACATAGCTAAAAAGCAAGATGACTTTGTGGAAAAAAGATATAAAGGAGATTGAAGCTTTCAGGAAAATTCTTAAGAGGCAAGAACTAGTCAAACATATTTCCTAGGACCATTTATGGAAACATTCAAAGCTTCTGAAATGTACAAAAGAGAAGAAGTGTAGCAAATGCTTAATGGAAAACCAAACCGGTGTGTCTAATTGAGACTGAGAATAAGAGAAGGGAAGAGAAGAAAGTGGAGAGTAATATTGGGAGACCTAGGAGTTTATGAACTCAAGAACGTCACATGAAGTTTTTGGCTGCTATCTCTATCTTGGAGACAAAGGTAAGATTTCTGTTGTTAACCATTTCTATTTGTTTATATTATTTTCTTATACTCATTAATCCTACAGATTCTCATCCCAAATCCATATTGAGTATACTGAATGAAAGATCAACGTCAAGTCGGTAGCCACCTCCAGGTTCGCATATATACTTTTATTCTACATATAAACCGTTGTGATCTTATGATAGCCTTCTAATATCATTTTCATCATTACTTTCTTCCTTTCAGAAATACAAAGCTCAAGTTGAGCGAGTAAATGATTCATTGTCAAGGAATGAATGGAGATCGACAAATAAAACATTTGAGTACCCTTCAGACTATGAATATCCTTTCAGTGCATCCAATTTAGCCAAGAATTTCATATCAGGTAATTCCTTTATGATATAGAGACAGCCAGAGATGTGATGATCATGAGTGCATGGATTTGATCAGCCATGTATTCAATGATGATGTGTAACATTTAGTTGTTTGTAAACTTTTTGTACTTGTTTTTTTTGTATTGCAAACAAACATCATATGTAAAACTTGTTATTCAATAATAATGGATACTCTAAAGCTACTTATTTGCTTTATCGGTAGCCATTCCAATTTAAAAATTTTTGAGTTTAAACTTTCGCTCCTTATGTGCCTACACCACATGAGGTATATAAGAGCATATGTATCAGAGAGATTTAGAGGAGTTCTTCCAAAAAAGAAAATAATAATAAGAAAATAAACTATAACATGGCGCGCTGATGTAGCGAATTTATGGTAAAAACGTGTTTTTAAGAAGATGCTGTGAGATTGATTCTCGAACACAGATTCAACATATGTCATAATTTAATTGGTTTTTTTTTTTTCCTTTTAATATTTTATTTCTATTTTAAAAATCGTTTTTTTTTCTTTTTTTCCAATTTTTTTTCTAATAATATTAAATGTTAAAGAGCCCATTAAAGACTTGCCAATACGGATGCTCTAAGCTTAAATGCATATTGTGCACCTTTGAAAGCATCAAAGCACCCATAAACCTTTTTCGTTAACAAATTGTTACATCTGTTTTTTTTTATGATTGATTCATTATGAAACAAACTACACATGCATGGATATTAATCGTTCAATATGCACGTATAATGGCAAAACATATCGCTTTCAGTGATGATTCTGGCATTTGTATATCTGATATCAAACATTGTGTGTATTGGAGTATATACTTTTGAAGGTTTTACACCACATTGTTAATTATTGCTCCAATACTGCTAAAGATTTAATAATTGCTTCAAAGCCGCTATAAATGTATTCGGAAATGGATATATCAAAATCAGATTTACCATTACTCATGTGTGTATAGTATAAGTGATTTTGGGGATAAGAATGATGGCAATATCAGATTAAATATGATTAGGTATTAGAGCTCCGTGCACACGCAGGGTTGTTTGTGACAACTTTTCCATTTGATTTTATTACTTTTGTTACTTTGAAATATGATTACTTTGCGTTAAATTTTGGTTATGTTTTGAGTTGAACCAAATGAATGTTTGTACATATACACTTTAATATATGCTTGTTTGCTACATCAAAAGACGCAAACACATTTCTAAGCTTATGTTGACTGCTGCTTGTTTTATACTTCATCTATGCAAAACCTCTTCTACTACAATCTCATTTCCAAATTTTATGTTTTTATGTATTGTATTTAAAATTATAAATTTTGTAATTTTTAAAAAAAAAACTTTTGTTAAGAACCAAATAAAAGGTTTTAGGGAGGGAAGAAATAATTTAGAATCCATCAAAAAGTTGTTAATGTAAAAATTAATAATAAAAAACTAGTAGAGTACCCGCACGTTTGTGCGGTGTGACGTTGTGGTTTTGTGTAGAAAATTTAAACCCTAAATCCGAACCCGACCAAAAAACCCTAATCAAAAATTTTAAAAACCCAAACTTTTTTAATATGTCTAAACCCGAAACTCCGAAATCAAAAAAATCCCGAAAACCCTGAACTGAACAAAAAAAATCTGGAAACTTTTTCACCCGGAAGCCGACCCAAATACCTAATCAAAATTTTAAAATACTCACTTTTTTTAATATATCTAAACCCGAAAATCCTAAACTGAAGAAAAAAAACCCGAACCCAACCCAAACATAAATTTTCAAAGAAACCTCGAACAATTTCTATATCTCTATATCTCTATAAAATTAGGTCTCAGATTTTCATCCAAATCCGAACTTGTTTATAAAAACCCGAAAATCCAAAAAGCATATTATCTTGATTTGGTATTATCGTTAGATTATGTTAAGTTTTCTTTTTTGCAGATTTTAAGAGCTGGAAAACGGAAGTTTTCTAAACCATCGGTTTGTTTTAAGTTATTATTCTTGTATCCAAACAATTTTTCCATTTATTCTTCTATCCAAATAGTTTTTTTCTCTTATTTTTGTATCCAAACATTACAATGTACTAAATTGACCCTAATTAAATCGATTGCCAAACATTTTTTCTTCATAATTAGATTGGTTTTTTGGTCATAAATTTTTCATGTACTTCTCAATTAATAATATAAAGATAGTTTGGAACCAAAATTTTGGTTTTAGGGATGGAGATGGTCTAACGCCCATTAAAAGAGATGAAAATTTTCCACTCATGATCGCGATGATATATTCCAAAAAGAAAATAGTTTTTTTTTTGTTTCCTTTGCCGGATCGAATTAGAAGAATGAGAACAAAATCGAAACATAAGTTATATAAAGAGATGATGAAACACAAAATCGAAACAGAACATAAACCATAAACGAGTAAACGGCCCGATGTTGAGTTCCGTCGCCGACCAAGAAAAGCCACCATGTACAAAGAGATTAAAGCTTTCTCCGTCTCCTTGTGGGTTATCTTCATTGCCAACTGAGCTAGTTATGAGTTGCTTAGCCCGCGTCTCAAAATTGGACCACCCTTCTTTATCTCTCGTATCCAAGTGGCACCGCTCTCAGCTGTTTTCGCCCGAGTTATACAACTTCCGGTCACTATTAGGCTCCACCGAAAACATCATCTATCTATGCATACTCATCCCTCCAGAACCAAATCCACGCTGGTTCGCGTTCTCCCCAAAAACCTTAAACAGTCCTAGTCGGCTCGTCCCAATCCGGTCAAACGACTATCAGCCTAGGGAAGTGTCCTCGGTGGTGGCTCATGGTTACGGAATCTATGTCATGGGTGGGAGAAGGATCAGCGGGAAACCCTCGCCGAGTGTTTTGTTCCTTGACTGCCGATCTCACACGTGGACCATTCTCCCTGCCATGCGGGTGGCTCGACAATCTGCTGCTGCCGGCGTAGTCGACGGAAGATATACGTTCTTGGAGGGTGCAAGGAATCGATTGTCCGCAGCTGGGGAAAGGTTTTCGACCCAGAGACGCAAACTTGGAATCCCCTGCCGGTGTGTCTGGTTAAAGATGGATTAATGTACGAAAGCGGTGTGATGGAGGAGAAGGTTTTCGCTGAGAATGAGTTAGGGACAACTTTCTTCTACATGCCAAGTGAAACGAAATGGAAAAGTGGAAATCAAGATATCCCGGTAGATAAAAGGGGTTGGCATGTGATAGACAAGGTCATGTACTGTTGTGTATCTGGTGGGAGGATATTGTGGTGTGAAGCAAGTGAACTGGAGCGGCGCGAGACCCGGGTGGTAGAGTGGAAAGATGTGATGGGCTTGGAGGCTCTGAGAGACACTCTGGTAGTGGTCTGGCTACAGTGTGGGGTGCGAGGACACGAGAACTCGAACTCGAAATCGACCATGCACTTCCAGGGTACAAACTGAGCAACTCTGGTCCCAATATGTTGCTATTTTGGGACGTGCTTGGTCCTCGGAAATTGGAGATTTGGTGTGCGGAGATATCTTTGGAGGATTTGGTGTGCGGAGATATCTTTGGAGACTTTGGAGAGACGTAAGACATGAGAGATTTGGGGTAAGGTTGAATGGTCAGAAGCTTTCATGACACTTGATCCTCCTCCTCCACGTGACCTTCACTGTAAGATTTTCTATTCTTTATCTCTCAACCTCTCAAAACAAATTCAGCAAAAATACTCTAAGTAAAACTAACTTTTTTTTTAATTGCTAGCAGGTGTTAGGCCGACGTTCCAAAGATCACTGGATCATTGACACTAGGTAAAAATATCAACTTTATATCGTTTTCTTATTCTAATGATTTCTGTTAGATGTCTTTTTTTTCTATAAGTTTTGGGTCTCTGAAAACTTCAAATTGGTAGGCTCGTACACTTTATCACCTTACATATGTGTGTCAATGTCTAAGACAGATATGACAAAATGTCTTTGTTAGCGTTGCAGTATTTTTCAAAAGAAATTTAGGATGGATGTTGAAAGTAATTTCAAATAATCATCTTCAAGTGCATATTTTATTATGTTTATAACACCCACGTGCAAAAGCATATATTTCCCTTTTTTTTTTAGGGAGGAGGAAGCACGAAATTTAACAAATGGACCAGGTAATATCAAACAGCAATTTTTATGTTGTTAAACAATCTAACATCACAATTTGTGATCTATAATTTCAGACAAATAACATCACATTTGGGACTAAAAAGCGTCAAAGAATGGCCAAATGTGAAAGAAATCGCCGCATAATGACTCTAACTCTACCAAAAAAGACCATTCATAGTGAACATTCAACCATTGGACCACCACCATTTAGTTGATCCGCTGAACTTCGGTTTCACAATTAGCTAAATTATTCATGGAAAATAATTGGTGACAATCATATAGTGTAGTAATGGTATCCTCCCACGAACTCGAAAAGAATAGAAACAAAATACAACATTAGGGATTTATAACATAGGGATTAAGAAAGAAAAAATAACATAGTGAGTTAAATAAACTAAATAGAAGGTGATTAAGAGATGATAAAGTACCTCAGAGAAGAAAACAAAGTCACTGTTTATTTTTATAAAAGGGGATACATTGTTTAGCACAACATAAAATGACTGAGACATGAGCCAACTTATTTTTAAAGAATAATAGATATAACTTTACTAATTTACAAAAAGAAACAATCAAATATGAAATATATCAAGATTGAACTATGACGACAACTTATTTTTGAATGATAGTTTTATAGAGGTTCTAGAATCATTCAAAATTAAGTCATACAGTACTATAATGATGTTAAATTTTTCGAATTTAGCCTTCAAAATAGAGATTAATATATTTTAACATAAAGATTAACAATATACAAAAATCATATTAATATTTTTAAAATAAAAAATAACAAAGAAAAAGAATCGCGTTCATATTTTTCTGTTAGTAGAAAAGAGAGGAGCAAGTAGAATATGAATTCTACTTTGCATATATGAAAACATAGAAATTTTAAAACACATATGTTAAACACATCTTTTTTTTATTAAAAACTGGCATAACATTCGCCATATTATTCTTCAATTGTTTGAAATTTTTTTTTTACAAAAAATTTTTAAAAATTTATTATATAAATATATACATTTTACAAGGATTGAGAAGTCAAAAAATGGTAAATTTCAAAATGGTGTATTAGGATAAGAGGGGTGTTTTTTTAGCCTATGTTCACAAATCTCCCAAAAGTTTTCATGTGTTGTCTTTACTCTTTGCTTAGATCGGTTTATTGGTTCATTGATTTTAATGGATTTAAAAATCCAGGCTAAAATTCCCCCTTATTGGATTAGTAATTTTAAAACATTTGTCAAAATTTGTGTAATAGATTAGTCAATCCAGTGTTAAAAAAAAAAAACATTTGTCAAAATCCCTCCTTATTCATTCATTCATTCATTCATTCAATGATTATAAATACTAACTGAAATCCGGTGTTATTGGTTTAATAATTGTTATTTGGAAATCCACTTTGGATTTTAATGGATTTGAAATTGTTTTTAAGTAAAAAATATAAAGAATCAAATCCAAGATAAAACTTTGGTATTTCAAAATCCATCATTCTATATATAAAGATTTCTAAATCTTGTATGGATTTAGAAATCATACAACTATTAAACCCCCATAAAGTATCCCATATTGGGTAAGGTGGTTTGTTGAGAAACCATTTTTTTTTAACTGTGACTTCCATGCTTTTAAAATGATAAGGCTTGCAAATTCCAGAATTTGAGAGGTATATTTAAAAAAGAAAAACTCTTCAACCCTCAAGCCCATTTCCAATAGGATCCTATATTTTATCATTAATTTGTGTGGCTTTTTTCCATTAGAAGTGAAACCCAAAACCTGAAAGCCCATTTGGATCATTAAGGGTAAAATAGACATTTTCCCGAAACTATAACCCTAGGAGCCTCGCCGCCCTTCATTACTATAAAAAAAAGCTTCCACCTAGAGGCAGACAAATAGCATATCGACGGCGAAGTCCTGCCAAAACTGAGCCAACCTTAGCCACCTCGAAGAAGAACTCACTGCATCCATCTAGAGAGAAATGAGTCAGATCTGAGGCATTTTGGTGCAAAGGAGAAAAAGCCAAGCAAATAAGATCAGAACGAGCTGATTTCCGGTAAGTAACTTCCTTACTCTTAGATCTAGCAGTAGGAGAAAGCAGATTTTCACTTAGAGCCGTGGATTAAAAGTTATAGATAGAGTTATAGATCTTTTCCCAAAACTAATTTTGTAGATCTGATAGAAGAAAATCTGAAAGAGGTATTTTTGTATGCTCTTTGCAAATGAACCTCTTCTTAATCAATTGTAGTATAGCTTGAGGTTCTTTGTCAAATCCAGTAAGGTCAAGATAGAGACATCAAGAATGCATGAAACATAAGTGAGCTAAGCAAATTCGAAATGTTTTGTTAACAACCTAAATGAACAAAAGCATAAATAAAAATGCAAGAGATGAAAGAAATGCAAATGGAGGCACTTGGGATGAGGGTCATTGACCTTGGGAGATTCTCAAGTCAGTTTATGATGCTCAAACAGTTTAATGATTGCTAATCCTTAGGCAAAGAACTCATTAACAAGACTAATCCACTCTCATGGTACTAATCACTTTGCTAATTACCAATTTCAAGAACTAATTCTCATTAGTGAAATTGATTAAAGCAAGCATAAGATTCAGTTCTAGAAAGCCAATAAACACCCTAGACAATCACTCTCATGAGCTAGGAATGCAAATCCTTTAGATTTGGTTGCATTTCATCAAACACTTGTGGTGCATGAAATGCCTAAGATCTAGAATCAACTTGATCAAAGATCTAGCATTAAGACCACCAAATAAAGAAGGATTAAGCAAATCAAGTCCTAAACATCAAGGTTGACCATCAAATCTCCCTAAATCTAACTCATCCCATGAGCCTAAAGAGAACTACTCAAAAGACATGAGAAATTCGAAATTAAGAGAAACAAGATGATGATTATGATAAACTAAGATAAATAAGAAAGATTCAAAGAAGAAGTACTTTCAAAATCATTAAAATCAAACCAAGATCTTACAAAAACGAAAATAGAAGAAAGGAGGCAAAGAGAGAGGTTTTTGATCAAGGAAAAGATCCAAGATGCCTAATAAAATTAGGTCTTCAGCTATTTATAGTAAAAGATAAGTGGACCCTTGGTCAACTCCGTCCCTGTTGACTTTGTCCTTTTGACGGTCTTGAGCAAACTCTCAAGTGCTTTGTTCTCTTGCTCAAGTCCTCTGGTCTGCGAACTTCTTGAACACTTCTGAGCTCTGATCAGCTTCTAGCTTCTCTGTCTTGCTCCAATCACTACCCCAACTTGCTTCTAGCGCCTCAAACACCTAGGAAAACACTCCAAATGCAATGGAAAATGCAAAATGCTATTTAAAAGCTAAATGTTCCTAAGGAGATGAAACTTACACTAAATGGTATAAAATGAGACTCAAAGACATACAAAACCATGCAATTGTAATGCTAAATGTATGCAAATGTTGAGTACATCAAAATCATATGTTCAAGATAATCCAATAGATTATAGAATTTATGTTCCTAAAACACAGATCCTAATTTCATGTAGCAAGAGTTTAGAATGAAGAAACAACTCAAACAGACAATGAAAAGAAGTAAACCTAGAATCATAGAGATAAAAGAGAGAAGAGAATAAATTCCTTTTGATATTTCTTAATTGAATTATGAAAGTGTATTACAACCTTTTTATATAGAAAACCAAAATCATACTAATAATTTTGAAAACCTAATAACAACTTTGATTATAAAACCCAATACCAGTTACATGGCCCTCTTATTAATATCATATTTTCCTATATCAAATCTCCCCTATTTGAAAAACCTTGACCACAAGGTTTATATAGTTCGATGAAAAACTCCCTTGTAGTTTTAGTTGTAGAAAAATGCCACCATGATCCATATTTTGTTGGATCGAAGCAAGAAAATTGATTGTTGCTTATCTAGTTCATCTAAAAAGGCAACTGCATACAAGTTCTCAGCCTTCTTCTTCCAACGGGGCCAAACCTGCAATTTCCCATTTCTGTTCTTTCTCTAGAAACAAAGTTCTTCACTAAACCATGTATTGAGTTTGTATTTAAATCTCCACTTGTGCTTCATGTAAGACTTCTTATCACCATTTCCGCAGTTCTGTTCATCCATTGATATGCAAGTTGTGACACCAACATCAAAATCCAAACCACAATGTGACCCAGAGCAAAATTCAGCATCAAATTTTCCTTTGAACTTCAATTTCCAAGACTTAGAAAACAAACTCAGTTTCTACCTTTGCTGTAATTTGTACTTTTCCTTGTCAAACACGTGGTATGCATTATCTTTTTCATTCACACATTGAAACTGAACTTGATCGCTTCCCACAATTGCATA